GTTACTCCATCCTAGATCCACTGTGACGTCTCCCTTCACTTCCCAGAGAGAAAGTGCAGAGGAGGAAGAAGTCCTCATCTCTATGTTCAGCGTGTTCATCTATGTGTCCACCACCTCATTTCAGGAATGCTCCAAAGTGGGTAGCAGAGTCCTCACTCTGGGGAAGGGATCCTGCACAAGAGATCTTCTGGGGGTCTAGCCAGAGCACTTGGGCTGCAAGCACCAGTCACTGACTGCCACCCCTGAAGATGGAGGTAAGGCCACAGTGGGCGGAGGGAGGGTGGTCACCAGGTGGAAGGGGTGCTGTGAGCCACGCTTTGGAGTCCCCACACCTGGCACATGGGCTATCTCCATGGCAGGACCCCCACCCAGTCCCTGCTGGCTCCTGCCCATTTCAGACTGCAGATTGCTCCACACACCATCCCAACTCCAGGGGAGAAAGCCTGGGTGGCTCGGGTGGCCTGCCCACCCAGGCTTCACCAGCAGTGCCCCTAAGACTGTGGTAAACAGGAGGAACGATCCCCCAGAGTAGACTACATGAAGAAGGGAAATGGAAGGTCAGAAGACCCAAACAATGATGTTCACCACCATGGGCCAATTTTTGGCTTTATAGATGAGGAGACTGGAGGTCAGAGTGGTTCAGTGACTTGCCCAGTGAATTCATGGTGGAGCCAAAATTCCCGGTCGGCTCCAGATTCTAAGCTGAGCTCTCCCTGCAACAGGGTTCAGTCTCCCCTGAGTCTGTTTGCCTTTGGCTTAGAGCTCTGTCCCTCCAAACAGCAAACAATAGCCACTCAATTGTGATTTCTGGCTGTGTTGGCAGGGCAGTCATTTTTTAGCCTCGGGAGTCTCTGGCTCTGCTGAGAGAGCTGACTCTTGACCACCTGTTGTGCACCTGTTCTTCCCAAAGTCTGGTCTTCCCTGAGGCTGGGGCACTCAGATGGGGCTCCATCTGCAGGCCGAGCGGCCACCCGGAGCTTACAAGACTCTGCCCAGCAGAGAATGCTGCTGGCAAGAGAGAGCCCACAGGCTGAGGCCTCAGCACCAGACGGGAGGCTGAGTTCATGCCCCTGGGACCCCTCTGCCATCCAGACAGCTGCGCCCTGGAGCAGGATAGCCACCACAAGGAAGCAAGTGAGCCCTTATTGGGCTTGCCAGGCTCTGTTCTGGTTACATCTTGCAGCCCTTACATCAACCCAACAGTGTGTGATCGTTGAGGACCGGCTGCTGTGTCCCCGGTGGGTGACCTTGGACAGGTCACTTCACATGTGAGGTCCACCTTTGTCACCGGAAAATGGAGCTGCTGTGAGCATCATTCAGACAATGGACAGAGTGCTTCGCACAGTGCCAGGCACACAGCCGACACTGGGTGATAGAGCGGTGGAAGAATCACCGCAGTGGTAGTTGTTATCCTGAGAACTGAAGGATGAGAAGCATCTGAGCCATGGAACAAGTGAAAGCCTGAGCCCTCTGGCTTTACATCAGGAGAAACTGAGGCTCGGAGAGCTAAAGTGACCTGCACAGGGACATACCGCTCATAGACCGGGAGCTAACCGACCCCAACACATCTCTGTGTATATTCTTTCAACTGCACCTTGCTGCCTCTGAGAGGTCCTGGTCAGTGTCCCAGCTACTTGCTTCCCTAGCCTGAGGCTCAAGCCCCACACACCCACCCACACACCCCATGTCTCCAGGCCATGGTGGCTCCCCATGGGCCCTGGCCCAGGATGGCCTGATGTGACTGGCAGTCTCGACTCTTAAAAATGCCTTCATGGCCGGGGTGCCTGTGTGGCTCAGTCGGTTAAGCAGCTGACTCTTGATTTTGGCTCAGGTCATAATCTCAGGGTCATGAGATCGAGCCCTGCGTTGGGCTCCATGCTCAGCGGGGTAGTCTGCTTGAGATTTTCACTTTCCCTCTCCCTCTGCCCCTCCCCCTGTGAACGCTCTCTCTCTCTCTCTAAAATAAATTTTTAAAAAATGCCTTTACATCCAATCTTCACTGCAGCACCTGCCTCTCACTTGAATTTTCCCATTTTTCTTTCCGAGGCTCCCCTGTACCCTAAGATAGCACTCCCAGCAGAAAGCCTGCTTTCCTTGATTTGACCTCCTCTCCTGTATCAGCACATGGGGCTGGGGCCTTAACCTTCTTGCTGTGCTTGCACAGCACCTCCCCACCTCACACCCTGGATCAGCTTGATGTAGCATGATTTTCAGTCAATGTGAGAACTCCAGGTCTGTGGGAACTAGGGAGTATCTGACTAAACCCAGGTTATTCTTGGAAAACCTGAGAGTAGAGGGTGCAAGGAACCCAGAAGAGAGGGACCCCCCCCCCCAGGGCCCCGGGGAAGATCTCCCAGCTACAGGAGACCCACATGCCAGGGACTTCAACTGCCCCTCTTTCAAAGCTTCCTCTGACGGGCTGATGAGTTGCCATGTCATTTTAGCTAAAGCTAGGCTGGTAATACCAATACCAACCCAATTCTCCAATCCCTGACTGGAAGCCAAAAATGTACTGTCAACACCAGCAAGAGGGCAGTAGGAGCAAAACACAGGTGTTAACACAGACCCTTTGATTTGAAGATAAACATTTAAGTCATCTCAAAACAGATTTTTTACTGGCAGAGTTGGCAGTCTGCCATCACGCCCAACACCACGTGCACGCTGGGATTATTGCGGCTTCCCTGTGAGCTTCGGAAAGAGGACTGGCAGCTCAGGTTCCTTGAGAACTGTTATTTCATACCCTTTTATAACCCTGAGAAACCCATGGGATTAAAAAAAAAAACTTTTTGGGAAACAGTTTCTGATTTATGGAAGAGTTGCAAAGACAGTACAGAGCATTTCTATAAATCCTTCCCTCAGCTTCCCTGAGTGTTAAACCTGATGTTTGGTTCGTTTATCAAAATTAGGAAATCATCATTGGTACCACGCTATTAACTAAGCCACAGATTTTATTCAGACTTCCCCAGCTTTTCCACAAATGTTCTTTTTCGACCCCAGGATCCCACATTGTGTTTAGTCACCATGTCTCCTGGAGTCTTTTGTAACCTAATCACAGAAGTGACGCCCATCACTTTTGCTGGATTAGAATTGAGTCATTAGGTCCAGCTCCCACTGGAGGGTGAATGAATACCAGGAGGTGGGGATCACAGAGGGCCATGTCAGAAGCTGCCTACCACACTTCTGGAGAGTGAGGCTAATAATTGCCTTAAATAATTGAATGCTCTTAAAATGTGCACAAAGCACGTGCCATACGGGCAGACAGCCAGTAAATGGCAACCATTACCCATAAAGTAGGCGCTTGGTTCACATCTATTTCCTTTCCCTCTTCTACACTGTTTGAGCCATCTCCCTTCATTGATAAGACGTGTTCACCAAGCACTAGCTCAACTAACATGGCCCTTCCTTTGTTCCCTGATGCCCCGTCACTGTTACGTTGTTACACACAACCACCCTACCCAGCTTCCTTATGGGTGAAACCAGTCACACCCAAGAGAGAACTTTTCCCAGCCAGGGACCTGGTTTTCTTGGGCCTCTGTTCAGCTATTTCTAGTGCCCTGGCTATTACAGTCAGGGGTGTGCCTATATCCTTGTTTACAGATTCTAGATTTGGGCCACTGTGACTTTCAAACAAGAGTACATCAGTTCATTCTGGACAAGAGGTGGTATGAGTATCTGTGTACTTGTGTGGAAAACAAAGTTGATGTAGAATCAGGGATGGGGGGGGGGGGGAAGGCTGTTTCTGGCATCTCCCAGAGGCTCCTAAGTAGCAGAAGTCATTGCCCCATGCAGTGGATCCCAGCACCCAACAGTCGCCAACAGCCATTCTTCCCTTCCCCCTTCCTAACAGAGGTCTGGGTCAGTTCAGGTCCATCCTCCTCCCATGGCCACTGGGAAGTTGAGCCCAGCCTCAGCCCCAGCAGGGAGACATACCTAAGTCTCCCATAGTGGTCCCAATCTCTTTCCCACTTATTAGTTTGGGCATGTCTATGTATCCCAACTTCCCCAAAGGGGGTGGAGGGAAGCTGGGGAACAAGGTCTTCTTCTCAAGTGGCTGGCCTCATGGTCTGACAACTGTAGCAGCCAAGAGACGACCCTGAAGGAAGCAATTCCAGAACAAAGCTAACATACCGAGGCTGGCAGAGCAGAGAACTGGAAGAAACCTGGCTCCTTGATGATGTCAATGAGCTGCTGTATTTATCGACCCTGGCACTGCCCAATCTTGGGACTTTTGTGAGGTAACTCTACTCCCTTAATGTTGAAGCTAGTGGGTCTCTGAAGTAAAACAAGATGATCCACAGAGATGCAGGAATAAAACATGAGCTGTATAGGTTTTTAAGAGTAAAGAAGCTTTACCCAAACACAGTGCACACGTAAGGGGTCAGGCAGCGCGCAGAAGACACGAGGTACGCGGCAAGAAGCAGCGAGAGCTCCATGAGCAGAGGCCGCGACCCATGCGCCATCCTCTTGCAGAACAGAGGAGTCTGTGTGGCAACTGGACTCACGGATTTGATCTTACATAAGAGCACGCTCACAGTATGTTATACGATGGGGAAATTTAAAGGCCAAAAGAGGTTGCTGGTTTTCTTAAAAGTATTGTCAAACTTAAAGATGGCATGTATTTATTGAGAAAAAGAAAATGTTTGCAATTTGCCAACCTTTCTTGTGGTGACAAGTGCCTGTCAGTAATATGCAATATAAAAGGTATTAAAAAAAAAAAAAAAGACTTTATCTGACCCTTCAAGGTAAAGAAGATATTCTAACAATGAGTAAGAAAGTAGCTATCTGTTCCAAAAGAAATTCATGTTAAAAGCATTTTGAAAATGGCTAGACATGTTTCCAGCTGTATAAAAATGTATTTACAAAAACTGTCACCTATAAAACTCTCTTAACACTTAAAGCTTGGGAAATGAAACCCAAAAATGACTTTCGGTAAGTTTTGAACCCATTTTTTTTTTAACCAATAAAAATGCCACACTTGCAATTGAGCAAGAACAAGGTACTGACAGTGAGAAAGATGGACATTTATTATAAAGATTTCAACAAACACTTTTGAAGACTAGTAGATGGAGTTGAAAATGAGCAGTTTCTCAGTAAGCACAGTCATTTGGACCCACAGATCTTAATGAAGTGGTTTTAGCTACAATAGCCATTAAAACCCAGCATTAAAATAAACTTACCTTAGAACCAGAAATTAAGTAATTTTTATCACAAAATGTTAAAACTAGAAGTTTCAAAAATAATGAAGCATTTTTAATTGTATAGTTCTCACTAAAAGAAAAAAAATTTTTAGAAAGAGCAAAAGGTATTTTTTTAACAATACACACAAAAGATATTTTAAACATTTTCACCTTTTTTTCAATTTTTTTTTGCCTTATGTGTATTGGTATTATATGTAAACATTAATTTAAAAATATACATGTCTATATACACATGCTGGGGTGGGTGGTGCTCTACACGCACTCAGGTGACTGGTTTGGACAGCGATGTTTCATGCCATTGCTTACATCCTTAGAACAAACTTCTCCAATCCCCCAAATATTAACTATATTGTCTTCTAACTTTTATCTTAAATTTTTAGTCCAACTGGAATTTCTTTCGGCGAATGGTCTGATGGGAATAAATTTAATTTTTTCTACTTAAACCAGCACCTTTTACTGAGTAATCCATCATGGTCAGAATTATTTCAAAAAGCCACCTTTAATGTACTCTAAATTCTTAAAAGCATTTGGGTCTATTTTTAAAACTACTTTCCACTGAATGGTCCATTTTTATAAGTGTAAAAATTTAATTGCACTTTAAAGAAAAAAAATTTTTTTTGGTACAGCAAGTTCCCTTTTTTCTCCCTGTAAGGTGAAGATCCTCTTATTTTCATCTGTTATACTTCCATATGAATTTTTAATTTGTATTAAAAATAAATACTCTATGGCATTTGGATTGACTTTGCACCGAATATACACACCAACTCAAGAACTGACATATTTACAACGGTCAAAATGTTCCTATTATCAAGAGCTTATAAGCCCGTGTTCCTCTCTGCTTTCCTTCCACCCCATCCCTAAGGACACCGTGATCTTACATGTTGTTAGTCTTCCTTTTCTTTAGTTTTACTACTCATGAATCATTCTGACTTCTTTAACTCATGATTTCTGAGATTCATGACGTGCAAAGCTCCACACTACACTTACTGCTCTCCAGAATTCCATTGCACTGTGGATGGGCATTTGGCTTTCTTCCTTCTTTTTATTATAAGCAACGATGTTGCGACCACTCCTGTGGGTTTCCTGGGTGTATGCACCCACACAGGAGTTTCTCTGAGCGTAAATCATTGCCTGTAAGATAGATCTGTGGTCAACTAGATAATACTGTTTTCCAAAGTGATAGTACTGACTTACATGCCAACAGCAGCAGATGAAAAAGACCCTGCAGTCATAATCTCTCCAACTGTTGGTATTTTCTGATTTTTTAGTGGCTGCCAATTTGGTGGCCAGGAAATGATAATAATGGGTTCATTTCCTGATGACTAACCAAGTTAGCCATCTTTTCAGGTTTATGGGTCATTTCTGTTCCTTCTGTGAAATGCTTGCATCTTTGCCCATTTCTCTTCTTTTTGTTACTGATTTGCATGCAGATAGCTCTTTAACAAGTTAGGTATGTTACGAGTATCTGTATCGTATTCCACTTTGGGAATAATTATTTTTTTCACTCTGTGGAATGTTCAGTAAACAAAAGTACTCTATCAGTGTAGTCAAATTATTCATCTTTCAATGTTTTGCACCTCCTCCTTTGTTTACAAAAGCCTTCCCTTCCCAAAAGTCATAAAAATATTCTTCTATATTGTCTTTTATAGTTTTAACTTTCCTATGTGAACCTTTAATCCACCTGGGATTGCTTTTTGCGCCTGATGCAAGGCAAGGTCCAAGTCACTTTTCTTTCTTTGTGAAAAATTACTGAAACCCCGTTTATAAATAATCCATCCTCCTCCCCAAGGTCTACGACGACTGCCCTTTTAAAAATTAAGTTCTCGTACTAATTGGGTCAGTTTCTGAACAATTCATCCTTGTCTGTTCATCTACTCGTAATCTCTGTACCAATTCCACATTGTTTTAATCACTACATTTTACAGTAAGTTTTTTGTTGTTGCTTCTTGAGATGTCTGAGTAATGGTTTCTGGGTTTTTTTCATTTTAGAGTAAGTTTTAAAATCTGGTCATGCTAGTTCCCCTCACACTTCATTCTTTTTAAATAGTGTTTTGAATACCCTTGGCCCTTTGCTCTTCCATTTACATTTTGGGATCAGCTTGTCAAGTACTACAGTGAAAATCCCTGGGACTTTTTGCTGGCATTGCATTAATCTATTAACCAATTTGGACAAAGAGTTGAGACCGAGATGATCTTCTCCATTACAGTCTCTCCATTTATTTAGGTCAATAAAGGTGTTTGGTTTTTTTAAATCATTTTCTCATTAAAAGGCTTACACAGCTCTTAAGATTTATTCTTACATACTTTATATTGTTTTGTTCCTACTGTAAATTTTATTTCTCATTACATTTGAATTTTTAAGACATTACAGCTTGTAGCTGGATGCATGGAAATGTAATTGACATCTCATATTGATTTTGTTCCAGGGACCTTGATAAACTCTTAAGTCTTTTTTTTTTTTTTAAGATTTTATTTATTTATTTGACAGAGAGAGACACAGCGAGAGAGGGAACACAAGCAGGGGGAGTGGGAGAGGGAGAAGCAGACTCTCCGCTGAGCGGGGAGCCCGACACGGGGCTCAATCCCAGGACCCTGGGATCATGACCTGAGCCGAAAGCAGATGCTTAACGACTGAGCCACCCAGGAGCCCCAATAAACTCTTAAGTCTTTTAATTTGCCTTGTAGACTCTGGATTTTCACAATCTGATCATATTTTAGTTCATTAACAGATAAGTCACACTGATTGATTTTCTAATATTAACCAATTTGCTTCCTGGGATAAATCCAATGTGGTCATCATTCCTTATATTTTAAATACAATGTTAGATTTGTTTTGCAAAAAATGCCTATTTTCGGGGCACCCGGGTGGCTCAGTCATTAATCATCTGCCTTCAGCTTAGGTCATGATCCCAGGGTCCTAGGATTGAGCCCCGCATCAGGCTCCCTGCTCCACGGGAGGCCTGCTTCTCCCTCTCCCACTCCCCCTGCTTGTGTTCCTGCTCTCGCTATCTCTCCGTCAAATAAATAAATAAAATCTTAAAAAAAAAAAAAAGCCTATTTTCTTATTGGAAGGTGCAGGGAGATTTTATGTATCTCCATCAGGTCTAATTTATTAGTTGTGTTATTTAAATCTTCCATGCCCTTCATCATCACGATCTTGTCTTCTTCATGATCTATTAATTAATCAGGGAGGTATGTTTAAAATGCCCATTATATTGGTAGATTAACCTATTTCTCTTTGTAGTTGTAGCCATTTTTTTTAATACATGTTTTGAGATACATGATTAGTCACTTAAGGTGCATAATTAAGAAGTTTAGAATTGTTCTATACTTCTGACCAATGAAACCCAATGCCCGAGGCAGAGGCTCTGTCATGAGTAATCTGGGGAGGAAAAAGGGCTTAATATGGAGAGACTAAGGTTGAGAAAAATAACCTTACCCAAGAACACACAACTCAATTAAGCTAAGACAGACTTTTGCTCTCAGATTATCTGTATGATATTCCTTCTACCAAACCATGTTCTTTGAAATCCAGAATGTTTTGGAATTTTAGATTATGAAGACATAAGCCAATAGAGGAAATAAATTAAACACACATCAACACACACAAAGAACTACTCTAGTAGAAAAGTTTTATGCTCAGTAAAAAAAAAAAAAAAAAAAAAAAAAATCTGCTAAAAGAAGGGAGAGGATTTAAATAACTCCCTATGTGGCTGAAACAAAGAAAAAGCTGAAGGAGGAAACTGTCAGGTGATTTCAATGCAGAGAAAAAGATAGTCATGGAATCCTGCTGTGTGCGGTAATCAAAAAGAAGGTACCAGTACAACACAGCTTAGGTTTTAAAAAAGAGGAGGATGACAACTGGCATTCTGAGAACACAGCAGGAAGGACACTTGAAAAGAGAAAGCAAGAGGAACTAAAACTATAAAGTGAGATTTCAAAAAACCTAGTGGATAATTATTAATTTCATAGCAAGAAACCACAAAGGGTTATTTTTTTTAAAAGTGTGGTATCATCAATGCAAAAAACCACAAGTCAGAAACTTTTGATAAAGGTCCACAATGTGCCAGTGTTTAAAGAAGAAAAACGACATATATACATGTACATATGTATACATACTACATACATATGCAGAGCAACTAAATGTATATAATTAAATACACACACCACACTGTTTTTTTTTAATCACTGGTACAAAGGTCAAGATGGACACTCACCCTGCCAGCTGATTAACCAGTTGACAGAACAGACAATGTGCTGAGGATGGTTATTATTTAGGAGGCATTATGAATATACTGTAAGCAAAATCATATGTTCTGTATAACAAGTTCCCGTGAACCAAGTATCAACATAACAAGCCAAGGACATCTGTACAAGATTTATTTCATTAACCACAATGTTTTCGAGTGATGGTATACACCCTAATACAGAAGGAGTGAATCCAAATCCATCAAGAGTTAAAGGTCAGAGCCAAAGTCAGTGGCTTTAATCCCCAATCAATAAGAGTTTCCTCCACCATTTTGTTTTCCTTGGATTGATAAAAGAGATGGTGTACAGAACACTCTGTTCTAAGCTCCACCATGCTTTCCAACAAATAAGCACCACCAGGGACTAGACTTCACTGCTTCATCCTTGCTCTAGCTGTGCTGGTGGGTGGCAAGGGCCTCTTGTCTGCATTTGACCTCCTATTTATTCATAAGCATTCCTGTTTCCAGTCATAACTCCCCACAACTTCACATTTGAATAATTTCTCCTGAATCGCATGGTCGTAATATTGACAACCAGGGCTAATGAGAGCGATTAAATTGCCATCTGTTTAACAAAACATACCCTTCTAAGAGAATATCCACAGTCTTATTGCATTTAGTACATCGTCACCACATTGAAATGACATGTTAGAATCAATACAAAATACTTATTTTTTTCCAAACCACAAAATTTACCCCAGAGCCACACTATAAATTTCCTAGAATTATAAACCATTAACATTTTTCTAAACAATGCAGTCCAACCAGAAATGAAGATAATTTTTGACCAGCAGGGGTACAATGTATACTGAGGTCCTATAAGAATGTACCTCTGACGAGGATTTTCTCTAATGCTCCCACAGCCACACCATCAACATCAGCAGAAATAGTGTATGTACTTGTGCTACTCGGCTCTGGAAAGAAGTTCAAAATAGGGTCTTGGCCAGGGGAGGAGGGAAAGTGTCAGTGACCTAGTTCATCAAAACTAAGGGGACAAAACAGGTATCATTACCCTTGAAAAAGAAAAGGGGTCCTTTAATCGATTCTGGTGGCCAGAAACTAGGGCAAATTTCCACAAGGCAATGAAAGTAACAAGAAAAGCCATTTCTCCAAGAACTCCTATTTTAACTTCTGATAAACGTGAACTTCATCTTATGCAATCTTACTGAAAACTGCAACCACAACCGAAAAGGTCCTATAAACCTATTCTAGGTGTCAGTCAAGGGATTCACATTCTGATCTTACATGTTGAAGTCCCCTTAAGAGGCCTAGACCTGGAGTAAAGTAAACATAATACTCTGAAGCGCAATGAGACACCATAAAAAAAAAAAGTCAGCTCAAAACATCCAAACTGACTGGATACCTAATGTAGGTTTTGCTAATTTTTAGTTTTAGAACTTTTTAGTATCTCAAGATTAGTGTATATTCATAAAACAATGTTCAGTTATTTTTACTAATAGCTGCTTATTAAACTGAATTTTAGCTCAAGGGCAATGCCTCTATAATAATCATGGAAATAATTAACTGCCATAAAACAGAAAAAACACAGAAGAAAATATAGCCAGTCTCAGTAAGAAAAGAAGACAAAATCTGGAAGTGCTACTCTGGAGATTAAACAGGCTTATTTAAATACTAGGATACAAGTGCTCCTGCTCACTTTATGCTGCAGAAACCAATCGTGTTTGCTAGATCACCATGACCTTTGCCAGTACGTGTGCACAGACCACCACTCTGAAGCTCTCCTTTTGTGCTGAAAAACGTTCAAGTCCCTTGTTCGGTCAGTAACGAATATTGCAAGGCGATGCACGTGCAAACTCTTCCTGAGGAATTCTTCATGTGTGCAAATTTGCAACCCGACAGAAAGCACGGCGTCTGCAGCCACGGCATCTGCACTCCAGGGGAGTGTGGCTTACGTGGCTGGGGCACTGGAGACGCGCACAGCAATGCCAGGGGCGCCCATTCTCCTGATGTCTCACTTAACGCTCAGTTTCCATCCTATACCCCAAAGAAAGGGAGAGGAACTGCCTCAAACTTGTAGTAGGGACAGGAAAAAAAAAATAACTTTCCCACAAAATTTAATAACGCACAACTCATGCATCCAGGTTTGTGTTTCTTCTAAATCTACCTAAGAACTACTAGATTAAGAGTCACACTCTATGAAGTTTTGCCTTCCGCCCCACAGAAAACAAAGCAGTAGCTCCTGTCAGGTTAGGGTGCAGCTGTGACAACAGAGACCAGGAGAGGACACTGTTACTGAAGCATAAGGCCAACTTTTAAAGTAAGCACCGTCTCTCAAAACCATCGTCATTTACTTTGACGGGTCATTGTTCCAAGGTGACCGAGCTGCCTTTCTTTTGGGGAGTCTAGCTTCGGGCGGCACATACACACCAGTCGGGCTCGCCGGATCAACTACATGTAGCCTAATGAGACAATCAGTGTATAATTTTCTGTCCTCCGTGATTTGGGCCCCACAAAAGCTAGGATTTAACTGGGCTGGAAAAACTAGATACTGTACTGGCAAGAAGAATACAAGTAAACATGAGAAGAAAACACTTTCTGGCAGACCGGGCTTAGTCAATACAAAATGGAGGGCAAATCTTATTTCCTCTCATGTTGCAAACCAAGAATTTTGTTAAACCCAATTAAATAAGCAAGGTCAATTTCTACTTAAAGAAATAGGTTTTTCATCCTGCAACGTACCTCAAGGGGCCAAGGTGAGTAACAGCAAGTCACATGCACTAAGAGGACACGTGTACGATTTCTATAGTGCCTCCCACTCCCGGCTTTGCAGAACCAAGCCCTGGCCCACTGCGAGCTGCAGTCGCTGCGCAAATATTCAGAGAAACTAAATTTTGCAAACTTGGCCCACTTTTTGTTAACACATACATAATAATAATAAAAAGAAGACAATATAGAATCTTTCTCCACTAACTTAATAATGCAAAAGCTTCGGAAGATTTTAATGCCAGTTCACATCTTAATACAATGCTTTTACAGAGAAAGTTCCATTGTTGGCCAAAGAATACTCTCCCAGAAAAAGCATTTGGGCACATTATTAGGATAATGAAGAATTCATCCACATTTAAAGAATCATCCCAATTTTATTCCTTTCAGAAGTATTATTAAAACCACTCAGGAGAGACGTTAGTCGCAGGTGTTATTTATAAGCCCGTAGCGAGCACTCCATGGCAAGGAGTAAATTTGGACTTCACGATGGAATGCAATTCTTCCTCGACACCACAATGTTACTGGGGTAGCAAATCAACCTGTACAGGGCACAGTGAGAGCCTATATATATTCTTACAGTAATTCAGTGTTTATCAATACAATCTAAGATGCTCACAGAGTTAAACAAGTCCAATTCAAAGTCCTCTGCAAAATCCACAACTCTGGTTAAGTACTTAAAAAATAAATCTGACACCCTTTACGTTTACTTCTCAGAACAATAATTTTACAAATAGAGGACTTCTATTAGATGACTTCCTTGCTCCTATCATCACACTTCAAACTCTCCCATCCAGCCTGCTCCTGAAAAAAGACAAACTGAATCGGCAGAGGCAACTATATGAGAAACCTGACAATCAGAAGTGTGACACTATCCCTGATACATCTTGTTTTGCCCCAAGTTCTCTGAAGAGGTAAATATTAGTGTGACATAGCCAAACAGAATCAAGCATATGCTCAATTTAGAGTCAAGCAAAATTGGGAAGAAAAATATTTTCACCTGCCACATCTATTTGTCTTTGCCTTCCAAAAACAACTAGAATAAGCTTTGGACTCTTTTGTAAGAAACTAAACAGCACTGTGGGTGCAGGAAAAAAATAAAATACAGCTGTGTCACAGGTGGAAGGAAGCTTGAAAACAGCAGTGCTACTTCTCTATTATACTTGAATATAATGCTATAAAAGATGCAAACTGCAGACTTTTTTTTTTTAAAAAGTACCTACTCACCCATTTAAAATGAAATGGATCCGGAAGCCCACACCAATTATTATATTTGGATTTAATAACCGTATCTGCTTCCTAGAGCATCACAGTAACTAGCTGTTACCACTGGAAATTTCTCCACAATACTAAAAAGGGAGCTTTTAGTGCTAAAGTACAGCCCACCCCTACACTAGCATCATGCCAATACTCCAGCAGCTGGTGAAATCATGTGAAGTGACAGAGGGAATGGATATGTTCTACAAGAGCTGGTCCCCAACATTAACATGAATATGCCACGGTGAGGCAGGGGAAGATGTGACCAATGAGCAACACACTTCTATTTTCCCACTTACTTAGCATCCTGCTACAAAGTCACACCTGACAACGTAGTGGGTTAGTCTGTGATACCATAAACTTTTTCAGGAAGCATTTGTGAGTTGAACATCATGGTCACAGAGTTGCAAAGTGCACAAAGCTCAAGGCACACAGTAGAAAAAAGTTGTGAACTGGTGAGGGGAAAAGTTATAGCAGAAGCCAAGTTAGCATTTTCCTTTAACAAGACTTTCTAATGCTAAACAAAGACCAACTCTTTTAAAAGGGGTTTGTTTTGGTAATGGGTGAAAAACACTGTACTGTAATGATCTGCTTGATTTTAAAGCAAAAGAGATCCTGATGTGTAAAGCCAATATGCTGAAGTGCCAAGTCCACAAATGAACAAAACAAGTGCTTTAAAATTAAAAAAAAAAAAGATTCTTCTACTCTTGTATTTTTGGAGGAAGCTGCTGATGTTGGCTGCTGGATTTCCCTTAGCAATGGTCACTTTTCAAGACGTTTGTTCCTCATGGAATCTGTAGATAAACTCATTAAAAGATTGTCCCATTTCAAAATCATCCCCAAGTCTAGCAGCAACTGTTTTTTTTGTTAGTTTTTTTGTTTTTTAAAATTACAAACCAAAGTAAGAAGTCCAATATCCTCTTCCAAGAACAACTTTGTGACAGAGCTCCTGAGTGTCTGCAGGCCCCCCCGCTGTGCTCCGAATACAGTCTCTGCAGCTCCAGTGTGTCCTCTTTTCGGGAAGGAAAGTACATTCAATACATTCACTATCTGTACCCTCTGGAACTTGCACATGCTGATGAGCTGTCTGGAAAAAAAAACATTGCAACGGGAAAAAGTATGAATAGCAGACAGCATTTGATAATGGTAAGATTCTGTTTATTTAATATGTATTTCTCACCCCTCTCTCAATCCCCAAAAGGAGATTTAAAAAAAAAAAAAAATAGCTGACTGAAGTGAAAGGGGCTGTGTCATCAGGAACTATGTCATCATCCCACTTTTAGTAGAGACTCCAGAATCTGGGAGGCTCCTGACAGCTGCTGAAAACCACTGCCACCGACTAGACTCCAGCGCTGCCACAGCTCGCAGAACAGTCTGGCATCAATCACACAGAATGCCTCGTGAGGCCACCATCAAGAACACTATGGATTTCATTATACTCACTGCACGGTCCCCACCAGGAGTGGCCTGACATAACAAAACCATCAGAAATGGTAAGGAACATCATTACTTACTATAAGCCAACTCATCCCCAGCTCTTTTCCGGGACTGGTCACCTCTGGGGATAAGAAAAGAAGGAATCAACAGAACACTCGGACATCTTCATATACCAAAACAGAAGAAATGAAAGAACAGAACTGATAACAGAAGTAAAGTAGGTATTTCAATTCTAACAACCTATCTTAAAACAGACACTAAACTTAAACAGTAGTACAGTCATATATAACATGAATATTCTTAGCTAAAAGGTGCTGCCTTTTAAATATAGAAAGCTATTAAATGAAGGAAGGGTTATCTATAAAAATGGCTTACACTGGGTTCTAGAAACAGTTCAGACTAAAAATGTCTTTGAAGATAAACCTGAATTCTGCTACCAACATCCCTAGTGACCTGGCATATATTAGGACAAATTTCAGATATGAATCCAAAATGTTCCCCCCAAACACCGCCCCCCTTTTTAAGTAGGCTCCACCCCAGTGTGGAGCCCAACATGGGGCTTGAATTCATGACCCTGAGATCAAGAGTCAGATGCTCAACCGACTGAGCCACCCAGCGCCCCTCCCCCAAAAAGCCTTATTATAAGACCCAACACTGCTTAAGGCTTTGAAAAATCTCAGAATCTTAATGTATACGAATGCCCTTCCCGCAGGTGGGAGAACACGAACCTTTCCATATATTAAGCAGTTCATCTTCAACACCTATAGAAGTTCTAGTTCCACTTTACAGATAAGGAAATAGAGGTCCTGATTAGGTCCTGTGCTGCCTGCAAATCCTAGTTTTGTCTCTCTGGTTTCTCGGACAATAATCCATACAAATAACTAAAATGCTCGAGTAATGAGTAATAACAATGGATTTGCTAGCTTTTTCTTGCTCGGTCCCTTAGTAGCATCTACACAGTTCATCTCCTCTTTACCGAAACAGTTTTGGCTCCACCCAACACCATCCCTGGCCACTGTTTCTTCTCCGTGTATATATTCCGCTTAGTCTAAGATGGCAATCATACCAGCCTGTGACTTGAAATACTATCCATATGCCAGTGACTTCCAGATTTCTGTCTCCAGCTCTCATTTCTTCCCTATACTTCAGACTTGTAGGACCAACTGTCTCATCACCACTGTCACTTGGAAGATTGATAAATACTGCCAGTTTACCATGGCCAGTGACTCCACTCCATCCCCACTCCTTCTCCAGTCTTCCTCAATAAATGGTACTACTAGCCACCCAATTAGACCTACTAGACCAAAATCCTAGCTCATTCTTGATTTCTTTCTTCCTCTCACTCCAGAGCACTCTGTAGCAAAACATAATCCAAAATCAAACACTTCCCATCAACTCCCTGGCTACACTCCCAACCCACGCCACTATTATCTCTCCCCCACGCAATCTCCAAGAGTCTTATTATTAGTCCAGACCAGAGCCAGAGCAATCTTATGTAAAAGCATAAATTAAATTATTTCATGCCTCTGATTAAAGCCCTTCAGTGGCTTTCCATCACAGTTAAGAATCAATTCAAATTCATTTCCCAGTCCTATGAGACATGGCTCTTGCCTACCTCCCCACCCTCATCTTCCACCTCTGCTCACTGTACGTCAGCCATGCTGGCTTTCCTTCTTCCCTGGCACACGCTAGCACTTTCAGACTTCCCATCTTCTCTGCCTGCAGCACGCCTGCCACCAGTTAGCCATGTGGCTGTCTCCTTATCACCTATGTACGTCCTCACTGGAATGTCTCCCCCTCGGAAGGCATGTCATCTCCAGTTAGCTGGACCAGCCCTTCACACATGCCCTGTCATTCACTCCCTCTTTATCCCACGCTCTGTCTCAATTTCTTCACAGCACTTTTTATTATTTGAAATAATTTGCTTACACGTTTGTTGTTTGTCTACCCAACATTAGAGCATAAGCTCCATAAAAACAGGAACTTGTTTACCCAGTACCTAGAACAGTGTCTAGCAGAAAATAAATATTTGCTGAATTAACAAATCAGTGAATAATTGATAAATGGCCTCTAGAGACAGACTATGAAGATGCTAGCCCAAGTAATTATTTCATGCGTCAGAGTGATCTTCTAGATTAGCAGTTTCCCTCTCCCTTTCTCTGGCTGTGCTTAAGACCAGAACAGAAACCTCTTGCTGGGCGAGGTGAGGCGTCTCAATGACCAGGCAGGAAGAGAAGATGCCAAATGGCCTCTGAAGGGTTATTCTCTAGGTTGGGCATTTAGAGAAAAACATGCACCACATTTAGCATGAACCAGCCTTAGACAGCCTACAGAGCTCCTAACACCTGTGTCCTAATGCCCTTTTTAAATACCTCCTGTTAACACTATGCCTACAAAGCCAGTTGGTATCTTATATTATTATTTACACTTATGTATTACCTTACATGAGTACCATCACAGTAACAGTCATCAAATATTCTGAAACAAGTAAGTTAATGCTGAAAAGGAAGACACAGAATTTTATATCCAGAACCTCAACTTCTATAGATAACCTTCATTCCCAGCCCTGAAAGGTTAAATAAAAACTGAACATGCAAAAATAATAGGAGAAAAATATAGATATGAAAACAACGGAAGGCAGAGAGAGAATGTAGATGTGATCTACGCAAGAGGCTGCCAAAGATACCACCTAATGCCCCACATCTGGAAAGCTATGGCTACCCTCAAAACCAGACCCCTGTTACTACTAAATGAAAAAGTGCCAATTTTAGAGTGCCCTCTCAGCTAAAACATCAACAATACCCCTACAAGGTACCATTGTGTTCCAGAAATCCAAGTAACAATTACTCTGCAAAGTACTTGCCTTTAAAAGCTATTTGGTACAAGCTTTGAAGAGGCCCAATAGGCTGGTTTGAAAGAATGTTCCATCTGCGGGCATGCACGTTAGAAGTTCCCAAACAAGCTTCCCTCCATAATGTAATCTCAGACACCAACCTGCCCTCCCCCTCCCTCCAATAATCAATTCAATTACACAGATAACTGATAAAAACAAAATGTTGCTCTTAGCTTGTATGTTAATTCTAGCTTACAAACAAGTGTATTTCCATGTATCTAAAGATGCTGCACATAAACTCCAGCTCAAATGAGAAATACCCATTAACTATAATTGAGGATATATTTGACAACATTCACAACACTTCAAAACATTTTGAAGACATTCTGTGCCATCTACATCAAAGCTGGGTGCTGCCTTGCAGGACCATACCACGTAAACAAAACACAGTCCTAAATGAAAAAATAGTTTGCAAAGCTGAACAGGAATCATGTGACTGGTTAGGCATAAACCATAAAATGACTGCTCAATCGGAACAGCCAGTAACAGAATTCTTGCTGGATAACCTGTACTATATTCTCAAGGTTTTCTGCACCAGTGGATACCATTTCTTCCAAAACAATCCTAGTCAAATAATGATCAAAGGCAGCATGAGGTCTGCCAGGGCAGAATGTGGAAGGCCCGTACACAAGAGCTGGAAGCATAGGCAGACTTTCTCTCAGCTGCTAAGTATATGACGGATGCACATCCTTTCCGACGGGTCTGGGCCAGCTCAGCAGTGGACTGCAGGAAGCCCGAGAATGCAGGTTAGGCAGGACCTACAATGCGCCAAGTACCCACCAGAATAATTTGTAAGGCAGACTTTAATTCTCATATTTATGTATAATATGTTGTTAATTCTAGAAATGGCCCTATTTGGCTTGTACAACAAAAGAGTTTAATTGAATCACCTCTTGGAATACTAACATTTAAATGCAGCCCTGCACCCTGGTATCTTCTTTCAGTTCCAAAATTAGGATTAGGAAAATATCTCTGGATATGTTTACATATTTCTACACACTGTTGTGGAAGGTGAGTTCAAGGTGTTCAGAGAAATCCATAAGAGCTATCTTAATACATTGCTTCATAGAAATAAAAGTTTTCAGAAGCTTGTTTATTTTTTAAAGGTATCAATAAACTCACCTCTAAAATTAAAAGCAAACATTCAAAAAAAAACATGAATCAAAGCATAAAAGACTTCAATATTATGGTAAGCCTAGAGAAAACCATAAAAGGCAGACTCAGATTATTTTGCATTTACTTAATTTAAGAAAAAACTTTTAACTGTAATTCAAAACCCATAAGCCATAAAGAAAAAACCTGACAAAGTTACACAAAAATAAAAAACTTCTGCATGACTTAAAATAAAACAAAAAACCACCATAAGCAAAGTCACAAACTGCAAAAATCAACTGACTTATCTTGGGCAGAAAATCAATCTCTTCAACATAGAAAGAGCTCCTAGAATTCAAGGAAGAAAGGCTAACAAATAGAAAAGTGAGCAAAAGGCATAAACAGGCCATTTACAGGAAAAGAAATACAAACCTGGTAATATTCTCAGCCTCACTCTTAGTAAGAGAAATGCAAATTAAAACAATTTTTCTGAGTAATTATTTTTCACCTGCCAGACAAGTGAAAATCCAAAAGCCTATCTATGAGCAAGGCCATGAAGAAGAGGACTTTTCAAACTGTGCTGGTGGATATGCAAAATGGCACAATCCCCCATGAAAGGCAATTTGGCGATATTAATCAAAGTTACAACTGATTGACTCTTGACCCAGCAATCCCACTTATCGGAATTTACCCTCCATATACACCTGCAACAGGTACACAATTACGCATGTACAAGCGTATTCATCACAGCATTCTCTATCACAGCAAGACTGGAAATCATTCCAATTGCCATCCACAGGGGACTGGTTAAACAAGTTCTATCTACACAACAGAACAGGTAAGAAAGGAGAAAAAGTAAAAAAACTCATATATTGTGTTTGTGTTTGCTTGTATCTGTATATTAAAAGAAGCGCTGAAAGGAATCATAAGGAACTAATAAAATGGTCACCTAAAGGGGTAGGAATAGATGGGGAAACAACTAGGAGCAAAACTTCTCAATGTGTACTTTCTGTATCATCTTGACTTTTGAACCACATAAATATAATAGCTCTTCAAAAATGAATAAGTAAAATTACCACAGCATTAAACAGGCTCATTCTGTATATGAAAATAATACCGCTATTAGAAATATTATAATTAATGTCAGAAAACACCTGACCACCGGACTTCAGGGAGGAAAATCAGCTGCCTACATTCCAGCATTTTCTATGGTCTTGCCTTCCCTTAACTTGACCCAAGAAAGTCAGGTCTACCAGACCTACCTACACAGCTTCCATGAGCCTTTCCCATGTGAGCTGCCAGTGAGTGGGCAAACGACCAGTGGATTAGTCAGTGCCCCCACGTCCACAGGAATACAGATGGCACCAGGACAAAAGGGGAATAAATACCAATGCATGAGGCTGCAAAGAACAGATTTTCTGCTTTCTTTCCTAATCTGTGCTGAGACTAGAGACAGTAAAAACCATCTTGATCAAGACTGGTATTCTGAGATGTAGCTTGGCCTCAGAACCTATAAAAGAGAATGTCCATCCCCAGCCCTAGTCAGATAAACGAGTCAATATTCAACCTACTATTTATGATCACAACTATACCTCAGGGAGAAACCTAGGTGTCTAACCTTCCATAACTTTCTTCCTTTAATGTCAGGAATTCAAATAAGAGAAGATATATAAAAGTGCTACCTTACTGCACCCTTCAATGATTTGGTGATGCAACGAGGTGTTTTCCCATAATCTATTTCGGTTGAAAATATGCACTTTGCAAGATTTTCTGGGATACAGCTAAGATCCTGAATTCCAAATTTTAGAAAAATCAGCCACATGTATGTATCAAACCCAAGGAAGGCAAATTTTCTGGATACATATAAAGAGATATCCTACTTTTTAAGAAGAAACAAGTAGAATTTAGAGCAGAAGTAAAAATACGAAAACCAGAATTGAAAAGCCATTTTACTGGTTTAGTCATAAACTAGTCATTTGCTAGTTCATTCATAAAACTACATTATAACTAATCATAACATCTCACCAGTGCTGAGAACAATGTAGAGGGTCACAACTGGAAGAGCGCTTATAGGCCTCCCAGCCTCACTGTCCCCCCAGTGAGAGCTCCTTTCTTCCAAATCCATGTTTAGTGAAGGGCAGCTTCCATCAAATCAAATCCCAGCTTCACCATTTCCACAGACAGACAGCTAACCCCCTCCCCCAGCAACATCACCTTGATTGCTCAATGGCTGTTTCCCATTCTAAGAACCCTGGCCTCCCTCCCTTGCCAAGCCAAACTGGCCGAAGGAAATGGACATATTTTCTCAAAAAGGAAAAAAAAAAACTTGCCTCGTAAAACCATTCTGTATAAGTTCTCTTTGAAGTTTCTGATCTTCAGCAGCATATTCAGAAAGTTCAGATTCCACAGCCGGAGGGAGAATGTTTGGAATAAATTTAGAAAACAGAGTTGGAGCCATCTGAACCCACTCTGTGAGGGAAGGAAAAGATTCATTAAGGAAATCATAAAGACAAATTAAATGAAAAAGGGAAAGTTTTCTTTTGTTCACAGAAAGAATATATGTATTAAACCAAACAAAGTGGGGAAAAAATTAGTGCAAGCCCATTCTGATAAGGAATATACGAACAGGTTAAATGTCCCTTCTAAAAAGAATTTATAGTACAAAGAAAGCAGATATTTTTACATTTTGCTGATAAACATTCTCTTCCCCTTATTCTGTGAATACTAAATATAAATAACATCCACCTGTATCAACGGCATGCTAAAACTAGCACTCCCCATTCCTTGTTGCTGGTCTTAATTTAGCACTGTTAAACCCGTTAGATTCTTTTAATCCTGCCCTTTCAAATTTTCCCTTTGGAAAACATCTTGGCTGTATAGATCGAAAACCACAAAATGTCAATCTGTATTTAATCCAGTGAGCTCACACTTTAAAAACTGTAATCTGAGTAAATAATTCTAAATCTAAAAAAAAAAAAACAAGGGGCACCTGGGTGGCTCAGTCATTAAGCATCTGCCTTTGGCTCAGGTCATGATCCCAGGGTCCTGGGATTGAGCCCCGTGTCGGGCTCCTGCTCAGTGGGAAGCCTGCTTCTCCTTCTTCCCCTCCCCCTGCTTGTGTTCCCTCTCTCACTGTGTCTCTCTGTCAAATAAATAAAACCTTAAAAACAAAACAAAACAAAAAAACAAGCCATGTTTGATGCTGTGCAGTGCTGGATGCTAGGTCAATGGTAAGTAAAAAATGTCCAACAGGAGAATAGTTAAGTTAGACATGACCAAAACAAAACACAAAAAAACAGGTACCACTAAAAACAAGACCACAGCCAATCCACTCATCCCTTGTATAAACTCATAGCAAAATGTTCTCAACAGTGTCCCTCCTTCCAGCTCAACTCATATACCTTTAGAGTCTCAATATGGTGCCCTGGAGAACCACTGACCCATCAGGGAGGGGTGGCAGGAGTCAAACTTATCTGCCATTTTATGGAACTCCAGGAAATCATTAAAATAAAGATGAAGAAATCAAAGAAAAGTGTATTAAACGAAGAAGGGCAGGATAGAAGAGTTGGCACTGTGCCTAAACTAAGCTTCCTAAAGATCAGATGGAAACATACCAAAAATTCTAATAGTCATAAGAATCTCCAAGGATTAGGGTCCAGGAATTTAGTTTAAAAAACTTCCTCAGGTGATTCAGATGCATTCATCATAAGAAGATTAGTATTTGAGAACCAGTGCAGTGGACTTAACTTTTACACTTAAAATTCAACTTTTAAAATATTTTAACCTTAATCGGTCAGGTGAATAAAACTATTTCAACAAACCAGGAACAGAATGGGTACTGGCAAGACATGTAAATGTCAAAATATTTTTAATAGTATCTCAGAAAACGCCTAGTGCAGCAAAAGGTTAGTCTCTGATAAAATTCTCCTTTTCAAAAGAACAACTCTCAAAGACAGAATTCTCCTCACAAGTAGTATGAATCCTATTACAAGAGCTCAAACCTGGATAAAACAGCATTTGGATAAACGTGTATCTGTGAGTTTTTCTACCCTTAATGATTAGTTTTATTTTGCCATTTTGTTATTTATGATAAAAGCCAGAGCTGATAAAGCTGCCTACTTGGGAGACAGAATTTAGAAATGTGTTTAATACCACATTTGGATGCCTTCCAAAATAAAAGAAAAAAAAAATCACTCATAACCTAGCACTAAAAGAAAAATTCATGAGCCATTTTTATCACATTTAATAAAACGAATACAAAACTGAGAAACTAGAAACATCAGTTTATTGGACATATGTAATATTTTTGCTACTTTATAGAAGTAATTGCTAAGAAAAACTTGTTTATGAAGTTAGAGTAAGACCCAATGCAAATTTAAGTTAACATGACATCTGGATATTCTAGAAGACCCTAACTGCTTAAAGTGTAGCCTGGGAAAGAAGGTATTTCTGACATCACAGTCTACCCACAATGCCACAGTTTTTAATTGGTTTCCATTTCAGCGAACTAAATTCTGACGTATTTTTCAAATTATTTAAGCAAACAATCAAGCCATCAGTTAATTAAAATAACTACTGGACCTAACTGGATAGTAGTAAAAACAGCTAATGTTAGCCATGCTTATTATCAAGTACTATGTTAAGCTCTTTAGATAATGTTTTATTTCATTTAACCCTTATATGACAAAAGAATTCCACAAAAAAAGTACTGTCAAAAAAACATCCCTTATGTTTCTAGACGGTAGCACAATGTTCTACCCTGAGAACTTCTGCAATCTACTATGGACTTTTAAAAAATTTGCTAGACAACTGTATGACAAGTTTGAGGTTCTGGCTTACAAACAAAGATATATACAAAAACATCTTGGAATTCCTTTAAATTCACAGTGGCTTTTTTATTCTAAGATAGATGCATTAAGATAATTTACAAACCATGCCTTTGAATATAGTGATCTTTGATTTTTGGTTCTGCTTTTCTTAGTATCTCTCTCCTCACAATACACTTATGAAATGACTGCAATTTTACCAACACTTCTAGATTCCCTGCACGTTACAAAATAGGCCTAAGAAGATGGGAGTTGTGGATGTGTATGTCTATGCATATCTGCAGTGTGGGATGCAGGTGAAGGAGAAACTCCACAACAAAAAAGACAGAAATGAATACTGGACATGAGATTCAATTTTATCCAAAACATCTGCTACAAATTATTTCTTGTATTTCCTAAACTAGTCAGTTTTCCAAGTAAGTCCTGAGTTTACATTTCACAATGATGAGTGTACTATCTATCTACTCAATTTTTTTTGGCTATAACAAATCCAAATACCATTAGGCCTCAAAAAAACACATAGACAGACACTGCCCTCTTGAATAAGGCTGGAGCTGTCATAAACAACCAAATCAACAAGTCCAACCCCAAAAGAAATGGTGACTGTTTACCTGGTCTGAGAGTGTACAGGCCTTTCACAATATTTGCCATAGTTGAAGGTGTGACCTGAAATGGTGTTGACTGGGCTTCTAAAAGTAAAGCTGAAAGAAGAGAAAATGGGTTAAAAATATGATAGAACACAATGACTCTCAAGGTTTCTCTATAATTATTTCTCCCAAAGACTAAAGGGCAAACAAGTATAAGAAAAGAACAGCCCCAGGGCGCCTGGGTGGCTCAGTTGGTTAAGCGACTGCCTTCGGCTCAGGTCATGATCCTGGAGTCTCGGGATCGAGTCCCGCATCGGGCTCCCTGCTCAGCAGGGAGTCTGCTTCTCCCTCTGACCCTCCTCCCTCTCCTGCTCTCTGTCTCTCATTCTCTCTCTCAAATAAATAAATAAAATCTTAAAAAAAAAAAAAGAAAAGAAAAGAACAGCCCCAGAGGACAAACCAAGTCTATACGCTAAAGATTTTTTCTAAAATATCCAATGCAGTAGAGCTCAATCTAACAAGTAAACATGTGCAGGTCTGTTAAAACACTAATGGAGATGATTCAATTCATGGAAGTTCTGAAAATAAGCTTTCCAAAAGCAGTAGTGTTCATGGTACTTAGCGAGTGAGCTGAAAGTGCTTCCCATTAAGTTCATGAGTCAGAAGATTTATATTTGGAAAATAAAATGTTCTCTAACTCCCCCAACCATTCCTCTTTCCCCAAATCACCATATTTGAGGCCCTTGGGATTTTTCTGAAGACACATTATTGGTTATTTTAGTAACTACGATCGGAGTCAGAAACTCACAATCCTGAACCCTACAGGTGCATGTACTTTTTCCTTACTAAACATACAGGCAAGGGATTGCCTGGCTCATCCTCACTTTCCTGACTCTCACGACCACTTGACCCTGACTGACCATGCCAAGTCAGCTTTCTTTTAGGTTACCTTCTCCAATGAAAATTTTATTAGAACATTTTTAAATAAATAGGAATAATTCTTCTAAATAACATCATTAACAGATACGAATGTATTCCATCATTTTAGTAGATACAACAAATAATGATTCCAGTTAATTTTTAATTTCTCTCTCAAAGACCACCTGCAATTTACTACCCGCAAAACCCACAAGACCTGGCATAACTTTATGCTAAGCGAGGCTTATAAAGCTGTATAAGCTATGCCTTTTCAAAAATGAAAGCGCCTCCTCACTTGACCAGCAATGATTTTATAGTTTTCAAACATACAATGCGAGTTACACTTGAATTTATATGATGAAGGCCAGAGATGCATTTAAGTGTATCCTTCTGATTCTATCAGCAATAGACAGTGATAACTCTGAATGGCACAGATAAATTTTAAGGATGACAAATGTTAAGCACTGCAGAAAATCAAGTTTTAGGATGTAATGTTTAACAACTGCAATTCTAAATTTTAGGTTCTGGGAGTCTCTTCTACTCAAGGTTATCTCTAATTTCAACATGTGCCCCCCACACAGGCTCTATTTCTAATCATTCATTTTCCTACTTTTTGACAATCGTTTTGGCCTTCATAAGTCTTGTTCCCACTAACTCTTCATATTCAATCACACATTAATTATGTCATCAAATATATACATTTGGAAATGAAAAATGATACATTCACAGATTAAATTATACATAAAATATATAAAAATTAACTTGGGGAGCGCCTGGGTGGCTCAGTCAGGTAAGCACCTGCCTTCGGCTCAGGTCATGATCCCAGCGTCCTGGGATCGAGTCCCACATCGGGCTTCCCTGCTCGTCGGGTAGTCTGCCTCTCCCCTTCTCCCCCACCCCCCACTCGTGCTCGCTCTTTCTCGCTATCTCTCTCTCAAATAAATAGAATCTTTTAAAAAAATAAAAAAATTAATTTGGGATGAATTAATGAAAAGAATTACATTCAGGAGGAGGAGAAAGATGGCAGAGGAGTAGGAGACCTAAATTTCATCTAGACCCAGGAATTCAGCTAGATAGGGATCAAACCATTCTGAACACCTACCAACGCAACAGGAGATCGAAGAAAAATATAGCAGCAACTCTCTCAACAGAAAAGCAATGACTTTCTGGAAGGTAGGATGTGCGGAGAAGTGAATCTGAGGCGATATTCAGGAAGATAGATGGCGGGGGAGGGGGCCTCTGTCAGCCGCTTCTGTCAAGTGATAGAGCAGCAGAGCACAAAATCGGAACTTTTAGAAGTTGGCTCTGCTGAGGGACGTCGCTCCAGTGGCTAAGAAGGGGGTGGAACCCTCACTGGGACACTGTAGTCTCAGGACCCTTGGGGTCACAGAAAGACGGGGGGGTGCCTGAGTGCGGCAGAGCTCCCAGGTATCAGAGCAGGGAAGCTGGCTGCAGAGACGGGGCCGAGGAGCGGGCTCTCAGCTCGGGGTTGCCATAAACTGTGACCCGCAGCACAGTCGGGCCACTGCTCTTCCAGCAGGGACCCAACAAGCGGCAGATCCGGGGAGACTCCCCTTCCTCCCCTGGGAGGAGCGGCACAGGAGTGCACCACAGGGATCTGCTGGGTTTGGAGACTCCAAACGGGGTCATGTGCTGGAGATGGAAATGCTCGGTCACAGGCTGGGTGAGCACAGAATGTGGCCGGAGACCAGGGAGACAGGCGTGATTGACTACTTTTCTCTGGGGGCTCACTGAAGAGTGGGGCCCCAAGCTCTCGGCTCCTAGAGGGGAAAATGGGAGGCCACCATTTTCACACTTGTCCTCCAAAGCTGTAGGGAAAGTCTGCAGGGAACAAAAGCTCCTGAGAGCAAACCCGAGCAGATTACTTAGCCCAGCCCCTGGCAAGAGCGGTGCAATTCTTCGTGGGGCAAAGACATTTGAGAACCACTGCAACAGTTCCCTCCCCCAGAAGATCAGCAAGAACAGCCAGCCAAGATCGATCAATGAGAATGGCAGAACTCCAGCACTAGGGGAATACAGCACATAGAATTCATGGCTTTTTTCCCCATGATTCTTTAGTCTTTCAAAGTTAATTTTTTTAATTTTCTTTTTTTTCTATATTTTTTTAATTTTTCTTTTTCCCCTTTTCAACCAACATCTTATCGATCCCTTTTTTTAAAATCTTTTTTATTTTTCATTTTTAGAGTCATATTCTATCCCTTTATCTTGTAGTGAACCTTATTTTTGGTACGTATATATAAGTTGTTCTCTCTTTAAAATTTTGGGATACAGTTTCTTCTAACAGACCAAAATATACCCTAAATCTCTACTGTATGGCTTTGTTCTAGTCTCCTGCCCGATCACATTCTCTCCCCCTTCTTTTAAAAATTTCTCTTCTTTCTTTTTTCAACCAATTTCTTATCAATTCCTTTTATAAAATCTTTTATAATTTTCATCTTTACAGTCATATGCCATCCCTTCATCATATTTACCCTTACTTTTATACATATATAAGTTTTTCTTTCTTTAAAATTTTGGGAGGCAGTTTCTTCTAAAAGACCAAAATACACCCAAAATCTAGTATGTGGCACTGATCTATTCACCAGTCTGATCATATCTGATCATACCCTTTTTCTTTTTTTTTCCTTCCCTTTCTTTTACCCCAGTTTCGGGTCTCTTCTGATTTGTTTAGTGTGTATTTTTCTGAGGTCGTTGTTACCCTATTAGCATTTTGTCCTTTCATTCATCTATTCTCCTCTGGACAAAATGACAAGACGGAAAAACTCACCTCAGAAAAAAGAACAAGAGGCAGTACCAACTGCCAGGGACCTAATCAATACAGACATTAGTAAGATGTTGGAACTAGAGTTCAGAATGACGATTATAAAGACACTAGCTGGGCTTGAAAAAAAGCATGGAAGATACTAAAGGAACACTTTCTGGAGAAATAAAAGAACTAAAATCTAACCACGTCAAAATCAAAAAGGCTATTAATGAGGTGCAATAAAAAATGGAGGCTCTAACTGCTAGGATAAATGAGGCAGAAGACAGAATTAGTGATATAGAAGACCAAATGATGGAGAATAAGGAAGCTGAGAAAAAGAGAGATAAACAACTACTGGATCACAAGGGCAGAATTCGAGAGATAAGTGATACCATAAGACGAAAAAATATTAGAATAATTGGGATCCCAGAAGAAGAAAGAGAGAGAGGGGCAGAAGGTATATTGGAGCAAATTACAGCAGAGGACTTCCCTAATTTGGGGAAGGAAACAGGCATCAAAATCCAGGAGGCACAGAGAACACCCCTCAAAATCAATAAAAATAGGTCAACACCCTGACATTTAATAGTAAAACTTACAAGTGTCAGAGACAAAGAGAAAATCCTGAAAGCAGCTCGGGACAAGAGGTCTGTAACTTACAACAGTAGAACCATTAGATTGGCAACAGACCTATCCACAGAAATCTGGCAGGCCAGAAAGGACTGGCATGATATATTCAGAGCACTAAATGAGAAAAATATGGAGCCAAGAATACTATATCCAGCTAGGCTGTCATTGAAAATAGAAGGAGAAATAAAAAGGTTCCAGGACAAACAAAAACTAAAAGAATTTGCAAACACCAAACCAGCCCTACAAGAAATATTGAAAGGGGTCCTCTAAGCAAAGAGAGAGCCTAAAAGTAACATAGACCAGAAAGGAACACAGACAATATACAGTAACAGTCACCTTACAGGCAATACAATGGCACTGAATTCATATCTTTCCATAGTTACCCTGAATGTAAACGGGCTAAATGCCCCCAAACAAAAGACAAAGGGTATCAGATTGGATAAAAAGCAAGACCCATCGATATGCTGTCTGCAAGAGACTCATTTTAGACGCAAAGACACCTCCAGACTGAAAGTGAGGGGCTGGAAAATCATTTACCATGCTAATGGACATCAAAAGAAAGCTGGGGTGGCAATCCTTAATAAGAGATAAGGAAGGACACTATATCATACTTAAAGGGTCGATCCAAGAAGATCTAATAATTTTAAATATCTATGGCCCTAACACGGGAGCAGCCAATTATATAAGCCAATTAATAACAAAAGCAAAGAAACACATTGACAACAATACAATAATGGTAGGGGACTTTAACACCTCCCTCACTGAAATGGACAGATCATCTAAGCAAAAGATCAACAAGGAAATA